CGATTTAGCAGCGCTTTGAGAAGCTGGCACACGCTAAAACCTCTGAACTCGATACTTTCATTAGAGCTAATCTGCGTACCTAAATCTACACTATCGACCGAGGTAGACTGAGATCGAGTTGAGTTTTCAACTTGAGTTTTTGATTTACTTGAGCGCTGGGACTTGGCGGGCATGATCTCGCATCGATAAGCAGTCAATAAAGTGCAATGGTGTCAATGAACTAAAAATAAATAGAAATTCCAGGCTATCGAAGAATGAAAACACAGGATAGTTGTCAGGTAGACAGAGAACAGGAACGTTGACTATCATATGAAGCAAAACTAGCAGGGAAAATGAAAAAAGTGGTATTCCAAGAAGCTGTGGAAAAAACCGCCACACACGTTGACCGCACAGTATCTGACATGATGGAAACTTGCGAAAACGCTGACAATGTGGAATCAGGATAAGCTGAATTGTTACTTTGAACAAATGGCTGTTCAAAAACATTTGCGAAGACTCCAACTTTGGTCGGTAACAGCAACGGAGCCGTCCATGGCAACCAGTTTAGGGATCAGAGCCTTGGATTTCAATCTTGAATTGAGGAGGCTGAAGAACGCGCTTTTATCATTACTACGAATTACTTTCAATGCAATGCTATTGTTAAATTTCCAAAATTTCTTTGTAAAACGATTATTAATTTTATGGTATGTAGCCCAGTCTACAGCTTTACCTGTAGTTGTGGCTTTGTCCCATGCGATAGAAAGAAAGTAAAGATATGGAGGGAGGTAAGATTTATGAGCTGGAACCTTATGAGGGGAACGTACATGTCAATAGCGTGATGCAAAATGGCAAGAAATAGTTCATACTTTTCATTGACTGTACATGCAGCATTAAGTGAACGTAACCAGTCCACTCCACTCAAATAGGATCAAACGACATCGTAATTCGCCCCTTGAAATTACCTTTCGACACCATAATCAAGGGCGAGGTAGTAATACTGACCGAAAATCTGAGAGAGCAGTGGTCACTATAGCCAACAGGGAGGCCAACTTTTAAGTCACGGATCAAGGATTCATTAATAAGATAATTTATAATTTACACAGAATAAGGTCTAGTATATGAGAACCCGGGCGGAGGTGGTGTAGTGGCAAGTGGCACACTATATCGCACGCACGGTCAGGGGTTCGAATCCCGGATCGATGCCCGCCTAG